TGTCAAACGGCCAATAAAGATATTATTGAAAAGCTGAAATCGCGCCACGTTCGCTGGCAATAAAACAATTTATAATAAATTCGCTGAATACGAAAGCCAGAAAGCGAAGAGCCAGCTAACGAAAAAGCTTCGTATGTAAACAATTAAAATAATTTAGTCAAAACAGAAATAGAAGAGCGAGCGAGAGCGAGAGATACTAAAGAGAGTGCCGAAAGAGCGCTAAAGAGAGCGAGAAAGAGACAGCTGCGCGCACAGCTGTTGCTAATTTATTTATAAATAAAAAAAGGCATAAATTGTTTGTTAAATGAATTCGTGTGAGAAATGCGAATATTCTTCTAATTAGAGCAAGAGCCACAAAGAGACAAAGAGAGAGGGAGAGAGAGAGAAAGAGAGAGAGGGAAAGTGCGGACATTATGTAGCACAGCAAACAGCTGTTGACAGACTGAGCAAGTGAGAGCGAGAGAGACTGAGAGACAGGACTGCGACGCTTTTGGAACAGCTGCCAAGTAAATAACGCTCATACGCAATGTAGTACAACGTTAAATTTTCGTTTATTTTCGTTGTCTTCGCCCACTCGAAACAGCTTACGTTGTTTTTCATTTCATTTAAATTGCAATTAATCATGCTTTGCGTGAGAAATTTTTCCCATCTGTCCGCCACATTCTGATGGATTTCTGTGTGACATTCAGTTAGCTTTTAGACCGATTTTTGCCCTGAGACCATTGGAAAATCTTTGTGGCAGGGTAGATTGATTCTGTCAGTTTAAATGTAACGGGAAGAGATTTCAAATTAAACAAATACATAAGTCTTCATATGCCCCGATCCATTTGTTATGCAAGCCAATCTCGAGATATATTAAACGATATAGTAAACTCTTTTAGTTCATATTAGTTATGTGAGCTTCTACTTAGCTTAGTTATATAAAAAATATTGGGTTTATCACATACAACCCTCAACTGATCTCAAAATGTCATATATAAATATATATATTTTCCATTTAGATATATTTGTGAAATATCCAGGATATCTGTTCGTCGCTTACAATTTCAGCTTTCCTGTTTTCCTCTAAATTTCACGGCGAATTGTTGTTGCTGCTGCTTAGTGTGACTGGCATTTGGTGTCAGTCTTATGACTTTCACATGTTTTTCCCGCTTATCGTGATCTCCGAGTGACCGAATTTTACGTTTGTGTGCCAAAACTTAATAAAAACAAAAACCGAAACCGAAACAGAAATGTTTTATGTGGGTGCCATCAGACGGTAGCTCACAGTTGCCTTTTGACAGCCACGCACGTTTTATTCTTCCTCTTCTTCTTCTTTTTCTGACGTTGCGCCCACCGATCTTTGCATGCGCATACATAAATACATAAATAATTGTTGACAAGCGCATAAAAACATCAATGAGATCGTCAACTTGTTGAATTTTGTAGGTCTTCCAACAACAACAACAACAACAGCAAAAACAAATGCACCAACAACAACTCTTGTCTATGCAAATGGCCAACAATTAAAATTTAGTCCAATTGTTGTCAGTGCCAGAATTTTTATGTCAACGTCTCATCAGCTCGCAACTTGTTGAATCTGTGGGCTCTAAGTAGAAGTCTAGTCTATAATAGAAATTTCTAGATACTATAATGGGCTTTTAAAAGCTATTAGGGGAGCCTTATCTATTTATATATAATGACTTTTCAGCTATATTTTCTACTGTCTACAGTTTGAACTTAATACATTTTGATCAATTTTATATATTATATTTTCTTTATTTTCTACTATCCGTTCAAGCAAGTATAGTAGGAAATAAAATATAGAAATTATAGCGATACAACAGTTTGTTTTCAAAATTTCTTAACTCAAGCTAAGAAAGAAAATGCATTTCTGAAGAATCCTTTACAATATACTTTTCTATATTCCTTACTCCACATTTCTTATAGAACTTCTACATCAGGATCTACTTGTATTACAAGTATTTATTTAGATTTCATAACATTTGTGTGTCCTTTAAGAAAACTATCGTTATTCAATTATAAGGCACTACAATCTCTGTTCTATTCCATTACTTAATCAATACTTCAATAAAGCTTATAAATATATACAGTTCTACCTTTTTGTAGAAGATTTTTTTACAGTGTATCAGATGCTTTAATTTTTTCTATTAGTTTATTAAACAACTGTGTAAAGTGTCTTAAAATCTAACAAAATAAATAATCTGTTTCTTTGTTAAGTTGTATTTTGGCTTAGCTTAAAGTCTTTAAATTCTCGAGTATCTAACGTTAGTCGTCAATTGTAAGCCATCGCAATGAGTTGTGCCAAAATTTTGATCTTATTGGCGGGCATTATCTATTGCCTGCCTTCGTTTGTGGGAGCTGTTACCTGTGATGTGGCACCATCGGATCCCAATTGCATTAATTGTACACTGAATCCCACAAACGTCGAATGCATTGCAACAACCACAGTAGCTGTCACAACAACAATACCTACCACAGCGGCACCTACTACAACAGCAGTACCAACGACTAAGCCAAGACGCCGTAGAGTTAAATCCTTCATGTTCAGCTTAATTCAAAGACTAAACAGAAGACTTCAACGGCTTAAGCAAAAATTAGCGCCATTAGGTTATTAGGTTACATTAATAAAATTAAAAAAAAAAAAAAAACACAAATTTTTTGCCTTTTAAGCTCTGCAAGTTAAAAATGCCAAATTTTCAATTTATTAAAGATACCAATTAAACGATTTTATAAAGAATGCCGTATCTTTTTCTTTAGCTTCATCTAAGTTCACAATTTCTGAGAGAACATGCTGCTAACATGTCATAAAATAAAATAAAATGCAGCTCTATAAATAGACAAATGTTGGATCGTTAAATTCCAATGCCGGTGGCTGACTTTTACCTGGCCAAGAAGCGTGTGCCGCGATCGTTAGCCATAAAATGTGTTGAGCATGCGCAAAACCCAATCAATATCAAAAATACCAGCAGCCAAAACAGAAATTCATGCAAGAAAATACAAAACAAACAAAATAGCAAACAAGAASAACAACAACAATAACGAGCACATTGAACAACAATAACAACATTGTTCGAATGCACGCATATATGTGTGAGCGAGAGAGAGAGATTGTGATTATGTGTGCGTGAGTGGAATATTAATTAAAATTTGCGCTTAGTTTGATTTCTTCCCTTCGGGCAATATGCACGCACACACACACACACACACACGCACATAACAAGTGTTTCGCGTTGTAAAAACAAGCGAGCGTAGCCCCAAAACAAAACAGAATCATATAAAACCAGCGAAAAACGATAATATTCAAATTCGAATTAAACGCATTCCAGAGAAGGGCAACTGCGATTCCAGTGGAACGAGTAGGCATGCAAAACGCGTATCCGAAAGCGAGATCAACAGCGAGAGATTAAAAGAAGCGAAACAGGGAGGAGGATAGCTGAAGTGCGCAAGTGTGTGTGTCTGTGTCTGCATTACATAAATGGCTGCCTGCAAATATGTGCCTACATTCATATATACATAAATGCATGCAGACACACACACACACACATCTCTGACAGAGCAGTCGGCGCCCTCTTTGCAGTTAAGACACGCATCTTGAATATTTCGCCTTGATGTTGATCGACAGTTTGACATTTTATGTCGTCGCCGTCTGTCAAAGGATGGCGGTTATTTTTTTTTTTTTTTTGTATTGTTGTTATCGATTCGATTGCGTTGATATCTAGCCTTAACGTTTTACTTACTAGACCAATTCATATAACAACAATAGCAACAGGTTAGCATACGCTAGATGGCGCTGCAGCGTTCCTAATGCACGTTATACGTTATGTGCATATGGTGCGGCACGTAACGGTAACACAAAAGTCGAATGCACATAGACATATGTATGTATAAATCAAAATGAAATCACGAACGCGCTTTTACTCGACAATTTCCAAATATTCAGAGCGCGCACGTTGGTTGCTTGCGGGCCGCCGCCAAACGGTTCCACGGCAAAACGAAAATTAAATAGTCGCTTGGCTGGCGCTGCCCCAGAGCCCCACAGCACAGCACAACAAAACGCACACAGAGCAATAAAAATAAAAGCAGAGCAAAGGCAAAGGCAAAGGCAACRGCAGAGGCAGAGCCAAATGCAAAGGCGACGGGCAAAGCCACAGGCAAAGGCGGGTGAAACAAATTACAAATTACTCTTTGTATGAAAGAGCAAAGCTCTTGGCGAAAGAGAAATCTAGTGCGGGTGGGTGTTTGTGTGGGCGCGCGCCTGTATACTCTGATCGTGGTCTATGAATAGGCAATTTTTGAAATATATTTATGAATAACCAAATTTACTTAGAATTTTTAATGAAATATGTTTATTTAAGGTTCTTACTTTTGCACATTGCAATAATTTCGATTTTTTTTTTATTTTTCCTGCTCCTTTAAAACGTCTGGAATCACTTGAATAATTATAATTTTTAACTATCTCAATCAATACTTTGTTCAGTATGCTTGTTAGTTTGTATTATGTACATATATTGCATTTAAACAGGTGTTTTGTTTGTTTCTGTTTTTTTTTTTTTTTTCATGACGCTACGTGTTAGGTCTTAAAAAATATTCATTAAAAATTTACGTCTTCAATATTTACAGAGCGTAACGGTCAACACTGAAGCAAGCATTACATTTAACAGTACTGTAAATATAAGTAATTGTTGTCAGAACTGACCATGTAAGTTTATGGTCAAAGAAAGCTGCAAATAATACTAAATAAAATACTGAAAAGAAAAGCTATGAAGAACTTTAAATAAATATTAACTTCATATTATTCCAATATTATTTATTAACAATCACTAAAGGAAAACTATTTACAGAATTTAATTTAAACTGTGGAGAAAGTTATAACGGCTTTTCATTCTAAACAAAGATGCCTGCTTGCTCTTATTAACAGCAAAATGTTATGCAAATTCCACTGTGTGTGTGCTAACAGTCTTCACACGTATGCGCACACACGCCAAAAAGGCGCAGCAACAGCTGTGAGCCGAGGAAAAAACTATGTATGTGATTTTGCTGCGGAATTCTTTCAGTTTGTGCGTATTTTGAGTTTGCAAATCAATTTGGTGCATTTAAAAACAGACGGTTTACTATTAAAGAATGACATCTGTGTAAAGTTAAAATTCAAGGTAAATGCAAGCAGGTGTGTGTATTGTTTCGTCAGTTTTTCACTGAAAATCAAATGAATTAATTTAAATGAGAATTTTTGGGCGTGATGTAACCGCGTGAGTGTGAGTGCCACGACTGCGCCATCTATTGTCTTATCGAGTCAGACATGTATATGTGTATGTAGTTTCATGTGCAATATAGAGCTCGGGTTGCCGGTGCGGTTTGTTTATTATTGTTTTTGCACTTGAGGTTATGTGCAACAGTCTGGAATATAAATAAAACAGAGACTTATAATGGGAAAAAATCTTATGAGACGACGACTTGGCCATTAAACAACATTGAATCGACAACGATGCGGTGAGCATGTGCGTGTGAGCGAGACAGCTAGTGTGTTTTAGCTGGAAGCAGCGCCGGGTTGCCATCAAAAATGACAATGCAATTCAATGATAAAATTATATAAAATTCGGATGCCTAGTGAAATAAAATAATCATATAAATATGCACTGCACTCATTTAGCATTCCAATTTTGTGAATCTTATTCCATATAAGTGGTTTTGCGTAACAAATGTTAAATTTGTTTGGGTTTCGAATAGTCTGGCAACGCTGATATGCTCTCTTACGCTCCCGTGGTCGTTTTCCAAGAGCACATGTGCTCCTGAGCCAATTGTTGCTCCAGCCTGTAAATTATAATATATTTGTCATAGAAGTTTGCAATAACAATAATTTGCTTGCAGAGCAAAAGCAACGGGGCAGTTAAGTTATGAACACTCAGGATTATGGCGGCATCCAATGGATACAGCAGCACGCATCTGCGGTGGACTCCGAGGCCGACCTACTGGAAAACGGCGCTGCCGACAGCGAGGTAGCGTCCGCCTACTTGGTCAATGGCAATGCAACCGATGAGGATCTCGACCATATGGCGGCTGAGAATCTCATATTCATGGCGCGTGATGGTCAACTGAGCGAGATAATTGCAGCCAACGAGAGCGGCGGCAGTACCGTCTTAATTACGGACAGTGGAACTGTTTCCTATGCCGCGGCATTTGATGAGGATGCCCAGGTGGTCACTGAGGAGATAATCACGGATGACTGGGTGCAGCACCAGGGCGCCGAGCGGTAAGTAGTTGATGATATTCTCCTGAACCGAGATCTAAATTAATAATTTGATTGGCTTTAGCGTGGAAATCGCTGCGGAACAAATCGCGGGCAACAACAGCTCGCAGGAGCTGCTGGACATGGAGCAGGACGAGTATACGGCACTGCGACCCTATCCCTGTGACTTCTGCAGCCGGCGTTTCCGCAAGAAGACCAGCCTGAACAATCACATGCTGGCGCATCAGAATGATCGTCCACATCTGTGTAAATTGTGCGGCGCTCGGTTCTCACGACGGGCCGAGCTTATCAGTCACTTCAAAGCGCACGCCGAGGCACAGGATGCTGCCGATGCGGCGGCAGCAATCAAATTCGAGCCTCCACAGCAACAACAACGCCAAATGGACGATCATTTCTATGAGCAGGAATGGTCACTGTACCAGGATCAGGAAGACGATCAAGTGCAACAAGATCTGCAGCAAATGGAACAAGACCAGCAGGAGCAGCATGAACAGCAAGAGCAACAGCAGCAGCAGCTCGTGCTGCCGCAGGCCAGCTATGCAGCAATTAGTGATGTGCCCGCCCCAACAGCCGCACGAGGTCGCATCAGCCGCCTCAAGCCCAAAGAGGAGAGCACTCAGTACATTGTGATTGGTGAGAAGCAGACAACGGACGACTTGCAGCCGTACATGGAGTGCGAGGAGCTGCAACCCGCGCTGACGAGTAGCACGTCAATTGAAGCAACGTCAGCGACGGCCAGCGCGTCCGTAGCTGAGGTGGCGGCGACTCCGCGCTTTCCGGTGATAGATGAAAGCAAACCGTTCGTGTGTCAGCAATGCGGCTTGGCATTTGCCCGCGAAAAGGCGCTGGTCTCGCACATTAAGGTGACGCCAAAGATTACTCCAATTAAGATCGATATTAAATTCTCTTCTACCTCAGAATCATCGAGTCGACTCTCCTTTCGAATGCAATCAATGCCAGGATATGTTCTGGGACAATTACAGTCTGCAGGAGCATCTGAAAACACACCAGTTCGAGGAGAGCAATTCGGAGTACGATCCGGCCTCTGCTGGCGACGACAGCGCCAGCGAGTCGGAGGCGGAACAGCTATACGGCGACTTCTACTGCAGCGAGTGCGGTATTTCATTTCACAGGCAGGACCTGCTGCGGCGCCATGCCAGGCAGCAGCACAAGCAGCTGCCCACGGCTGTGGAGGGCGGCGCTAGGGATGCTGATGCCGAGAGTGCCAAAGATGCGCAGCACTCTTGTCACACGTGCGGCAAATCGTTTCCCAGCGCCTTGGAGCTGCTCGCCCATGCCGAAGTACACGCGCGCTTCCCGCCCTTCAAGTGAGTGGAGGAGATCTAAGAATCTTAGAGAGATATAACCAATGCCTACATTTTCAGATGCGTTCTGTGCGGCGTTAGCTTCTATGAGGAGCAGGCCATCAAGCGGCATTTACACACGCGCCATCCGCATGAGCTGAGACCCAACTCGTGCGTGCTGTGCGGCAAGGAGTGTCGCGATCGCAAGGCCCTGATGAAGCATGCCTGGGATCACTCGCGGGAGAAGTGCCACTCGTGCTCAAAGTGCGGCAAGAACTTTCACAACAAGGCGCGACTGAAGCGACACATGGCCTCGCATCGGGACAAGTCGGTGGTGTGCGAGGTGTGTCACGAGGAGTTCCCCGACGGGCGAACACTGTCCAATCATCGACATTCGCACAGCACCACCTCGCCGGGCAAACTGTTTCCCTGCCACGAGTGCGGCAAGACCTTCGGTTCGCGCAGCTCCCAGCAGATCCACGTGCGCATCCATACGGGAGAGCGACCATATGGCTGCCACTATTGCTGGAAAGCGTTCGCAGATGGCGGAACGCTGCGCAAGCACGAACGCATTCACACCGGCGAGAAGCCCTACGCGTGCTCCGTGTGTCCACGTGCCTTCAACCAGCGCGTCGTGCTGCGCGAGCACATACGCTCGCACCACTCGGGACTGGATGCTGTGCGAGGGACATACCACTGCACCGTCTGCTCGGCCGATCTGTCCTCGTCCAATGAGCTTATACAGCATCTCATCCAGCACAGCGACACGAACACCGCCAAGCAGCGACAGCCAATCGTGAGTAGAGTGAGTGAGTTCCTTATAGAAGAGATTTACAGTTATTATTCTATTTCCAGACTGGTCCGCGAAAGTATAAGCGACGCAGGAAACTGCAGCCACATGAGATCGCGCACATGCGAGCGGAGCATAAGGATGGCGAGGATTATGCCAGCGACATGGAGTTCTGTGACCTGGATGTGGAGAATGTGGACGATCTGCTGGAAGGGGCAGACACGTTGCCAAGCAAAAAGGAGAAGCGCAAGCGTTCAGCTGCCAATCAGGCCAAGTCCGTGAGGAATGGGGGCGCAAGTAGCAATGCCTCTGCGTCGGTCAAGTCTGCCAATAGCAGCTGGGATGAGAAGTTCCTGCAGACAAACAGCAATGGCACCGCCGCCAACACTGATGAGAGCTTCTACCAGATTGATTCGCTCGTGGTGGTCAATGATACCACACTGCCGGCCGTCAGCCCATCCAGCAGTGCACAAGGTGCTTCCAAGTCGCGTCGAGGCGGAGGCAAGCAGGCCGAGAATGGCGATAAGTCCGGAGGAGGAGGCACAGCAGCAGCAACAGCATCTACGACTAGCACAGAATCTAGCAAATCCCACGTCGCTACCAGTCGCAGCAGCAGCCGAAAGAAGGCCAGTAAGTCGGCCAAGAGTGCTGCCACAACATCATCCGCACCAGCAACAGCAGCAGCATCGACCACGGCGAGCAGCTCGCGTCCACGAATGATACACACAGAAAAGTCGCGTGTGCCGCCAGAGAATGCATCGAAGAAGTCGCGTGGAGGCCGCACCTACATAACGCGCACCAACACCAGCGAGACCAGCAGCCAGTTGAATAGCCAGCTGGTCAAGTCGAGCGGCGTGTCCAGCTCTCGAATTGTGGATGATTACGAGATCATATCACCTGCCACCCAACCGCCCAATCAGATCAGTTCCAGTCCGCTGCACATCAAGCAGGAGCAGGAGCAGCAGCAGCAGCGCATCCAGTTCATGTTCGATGACACCCAATTGATCAACACTGCAATGTTGCGGGAGAAGCCCTACGACAAGTTCAATCCAAGCATTGTCAATGATCTCGAGGAGATATTGCGCAGTCCGCTCAAGCATGATCGGAATGCGCGGTTGCGCTTCACTAGCGAATCGTCTACAACGCTACAGTTCCTGCCCGAGTTGGAGCCAAATCTCATCAAGATTGAGCCCACATCGCCGGATCTGCGTGACATGGTGGAGAGCCAGCAGCGTGTCAATACCACAGCTGGACAGGCGGCCACGCCCACATCGTCATCCTCGTCGTCGGCGGCGCGCACATCGCGTCACCTGCGACAGCTGACGGCCAATGGCTCGAGCAGTCGCTCCGCTTCCAAGCGAAGCGCGGGCAAATCCTCAACGTCCTCCGGATCGAGCACCACAAAGCCCAGCAGCAACACATCCTCAACAGAGGCTGTCAGCAAGTCCTACCTCAGCTACGGTGTGGACTCCTACAATGTGGGCGTGACAACGAGTGCCAACTCGTCGGATGTCAGTTCCGGCTTCTTCTCCATCTCCGAGGTGGTGTCCGCTGCCCACGCAGCGGATGCGGCCAAGGCAGCAGCAGCCAGCAAAACGGAGCGCCGGACCCGCTGCTTTGAGTGCGAGATGTGCTCATCCATATTTTCGGATCGGGCACAGCTGCTGGAGCACATGCACATACACATCTAAGGGAACCAGAACAAAAGGAGAGGGATTTGTTATTGGAACTGTTTTGTTAGCAAAACCACTATACTAAAGGATAAAGAAAACGGATATATTAATTAAGTTCTGCTTAGGATTCTCGCAGGGTGGGGCTGGGGGTAAACGTATTTTTTGAAATATTTACCAACAAGAATTTCAATTACAAATTGAATGAACATGTTGTGCGGGAGAAGTATATATTATATAACAAATACTTGCAACTAAACACACACCCACATATACATTATATATATACATATACATGTATATATATATGATGTACTATATAAAACAACGAAATTGTCGTTAATTATTGCGTTATTTAAATTGAATAGAGACCGAACTTAGCTATAAGGCTTTTTAAATTTGTACCTCACATTTGTTTTGAAGAATTGGTATGCTGAAGTAAATAAATCCATAATGGTTTTTCATTTAATTGCGAATTTCAAATCATTCAAAAACACGATAGCATTTATCGTAATCGTTAACTGTTGGAAACTTCCATTATTTCCCCAGTTTCCAGTGTGTGTTTACGATATCAACGCTAGAGTGAGTCACTACTCGACTGGAAATGAGATGTGCTAAAGAGAGGGAGAGCGAGAGTGTAAACGTCGCTCTCAGTGTGTAAGCAGAGTATGTTTGCCTCTCTCTCTCTCTCTCTCGTTCACTGTCTTACTTTACGTACACAAAGAAAGTCCAATGCCCACCCTGAACTGTGCCAGTTGTTCGTCTCGATCGATGCTCAGTCATCGACAAGTTGCCAAACAAAGCGACATTAAATAAAATAAAACAAATACTTGCTTGCAATTTTCCACTGCTCGAGTCTGATTTAAGTATTTTACAAAAGTATTTATACTACATTCATAGCGGCGGGCCTTATCAGAAACTACTCAATGGCTGAACAGAACGAACCATTGTGCGGTGGGATATCGAGTGAGCTGCAGGGCGCTGATTTACAGGATGCCCTGGATATATTGAACACATCGCTGGACAAATTGGCCGGCATGGGCGATAAGCCGAGCTTAAAGTGAGTAACCATTTCGCTATGTAAAAAATACTCAATTACAACTGGAATATTCCTGCTTCCAGGGTTGTTAAAGTGAAGTCTGTGACGTCACAGGTAGTTGCCGGCACTCTCTATCGCTACAAGGTTCAACTCGCCCAGGGCGATGCCATCAAAGAGAGCGACGTGAAGATCTGGTCACGGCCCTGGCTGTCAGAGAACGGCACCAATATAACAATCAACCTAGAGGGCGATGACAACGTTATCGAAAGCACTTTTTAAACTAACTTCCATTTGTGTGTTAAATAAATAATTAGTTTTTATTTTTTTATATTTTATTTTATCGCATTTATTGAAACTGCAAATTCCTATACGTACGCCCCTATAAGTGTAGCGTACCTAAGTATAGAATTAACTGCGTTGCCTTATCAGTGGCTGTTCGAAAAACCATTTTTCAGGGTAATGTTTGTAAATTTGTTACTAGCTAGTTATGAACATTTTCAATTGTCAATAAACAAAAATTTTAATTTTAAAAGATCATTCTTTGAACTACTTGAGAGAGTTTTTTAATAAAAGTTTTTATATTTAGTTTTATGATTAATTTTATTATTTATTTATATTTTTGTGTTTATATCAAGATAATTACATATCAAATTTTATTATTTAAAATAAATAATATAGTTTCAATTGAAAGTCTAAATTTGTAGCTATTGATAATTATGTATAAAATTTACAGCTAAAATTACAATCCCTTGTATAATATTACATTTTAATTGAATGCTAAAACTATATAATTAAATTTCTTTAATGATTGATGTTAATAATATAAATTTAAATAATACATCAGTTAATAATGAAGACAGTAAAACCTATTTTAAAGAAAACTAATAGATGCCATAAACCCTATTTTAAAGAAAACTAATAAATGCTGCAAAAAATAATAATAATAATCTCTTGGTTCTGGAAAACTTAACCAAATGAAGTTTAAACAGTTGTTGAAATGATAATAAAGATAAAAGATAAATAAAGAGAATAAAATAGAGTACATATATAGGGATATCGGAACATAAATGTGTGTTTGTGTGTGTGTTTCAATGTATATACGTGACAGGGATTCTCTCCGGGCGTCATTTTCTCTCTCTTCCTCTCTCTCCTTCTCTCTCGCTATACCCCATCACTCTCTCTCCCCTCTCTTTCTATTTCTATCTCTATCTCACTGAGTCTCCCACTTACAGCCTTTCTCTCTCTCTTTTTCTCTCACACTATCTTTCCCTCTTGGAATGCAGTTTCTTGAAAATAATAAAAATAATGATCAAAGTAGTTAGTAAGTAAATTTAATAACTAATGCTTCGCAAACTACAAGTCACAAATGAATTTGAATATCATAAATACATATAGACAAATAAACGTATTCATAGGTTATCATAGTATGGGTGCTAGCCCTATGAACAAAGTGTGTTCAGAGCGAGCAGCGTATAAAAGACAAAACTCTCTGATTGACTAGTTAGTTTAGGTTGAACTCTTGGCCAGGCCATTTGAAGCACCTTCTTGAAAATGTTCAATTCGAGCATCTTTTATCTCACACTCTTTGCTCTCGTATGCTCGATCCTAGCCCGGAGTCACCATCTCAACGGAGCTCCCGGCGAACTGAGTGGCGTAGAGCTGAACAAGGCGGTTGAGAGTTTGCAGGCGACTCTGGCGAAGTTGGCGACTGTCGATGGACCCAGCTATACGTGAGTCATTCCACATTTTCCCACACAAGTTCTTTGTTTCACTCATATAGATTAAATGTTGCATTAGGTGAGCATGTGAGAAGTTTTCCCATCGACTGCAGCACGATTATTGGATAAACTCAAATTTAAGAAACTAACGTAAATATGTGGAGATAAACAGTTAGTCTATCTGTAACATTTAGATGGAGCTACTTCCGTTCTCTGATTTTCCAAATGATTCACTAAATCTCATTATAGTTTAATATTATTCAATATAATTTTCAAGGTCAGCTCTGCAAGAAAACTAGATCTAAGATCTCTTAATTGAATTATCATTTCTCAATTGGATATTAATAATAATTGGACACAACTTATTAGCCCTTAATCGAGTAGATATGCTTAGAAATAATATCTAAATCGGGTATACACAACTAGATATCTATCTTAAATATTCAGTCTCTAGCTTCAAGACTAGCCAATGATCTTTTCATTTGATTGGCGACTATAAAAAGCCAAGTCATCTCAATCGGCAATGAAATCTACCTAAAGCTAGACATTATCATAGTTGATCGCTTCCGAATAGACAGAATTCAAAACGAGCATTGCAGAAAACGAAACAAGTAAGAAAGCTCTAGTCGAGACTGTTCGACTACGAGATCCCCTGAACCCTTGGAGCAATAGATATTTCAATAATTTTTCGCGTCTTTCAGCTTACACAAGAAACACGCACACACACACACACACAGGCACGTACGCACACACAGGCATACATACATACACACGCATACAGACACACATACACACACACACACACATACACATACACATACACAAACACATACATACACATGCACACACAAGCACCCACGCATAAACACGCATGGGCTGCAGTGTGCGCTTACTATGAGAACTTAATTGTTTAATAACTTTTTTTATGGACGTACGATCTTCATGAAACTTTCAGATTATGATTATAACATGNATTTAAAAAAAAATTTGAAGTCTCTAGCTCTTATATCTTCTGAAATCGACGCGTTCATACATACGGACAGACGGACAGGGCCAAATCAACTCAGCTCGTCGCCCTKATCAAGAATATATATACTTTGTGGGGTCTGTCACGCCTCCTTCTCCCTGTTACATACATTTCAACAAAACCATTATACCCTGATTTCCCATTGAAAATGGGTTCAGGGTATAAAACTCTTTATAGTTTATGAACGAATGAAGTCTTGCCTCACATATGTATATCAAGAGCGTAGCGTTTCATTTCTCATGTATTTTTATACTCTCTCTCTTTCTATAAATATATATATATATATATACAAATCTTTCTGCAGCGTTACCAAAGTGCTGAAGGTTACCAGACAACTCGTCGCTGGATATCTGGAGAAGTTCACCGTGGAGCTGACCAAAGATGATGTGACCCAGCAGTGCGTTGTCCAGATCTGGACCCAATTGTGGCTGAAGGAGAACGGCACGAACATTAAAATCAACTGCGAGGGCGATGATACTAAGGTTGACAAAACCTGGTAAAAAATTTCAATAATGACAGCATTGTAAAGACATTTAAATAAAGCTGCGAACAGCTTTTAAAGCATCGCAACCAGTTTGTGTTTATAGTTATGCGAATCTCTCTCTCTCTCTCTCTCTCTCTCTCTCGGTCTCTCTCTCTAAATCAAATACATCTTTTGCTAATTACATAATCGGTTTAATTATTGACGTCATCTGGCAGTGGTGGCGTTTTATAAAATGTTAGTTATGGAGTGGAGATTGCTTGACTAGCAGATACCCTAAACTATTCTTGCTTCGTATCTACGCTTACAGATAAGCAACTAATGCGATTTTTTTTCCTTAAGACTGACTTTTCGATTAAATTGAAAATAAGAAGATATTGATTAAGTAGAGCATGGAATTTATATCTTTCAAAAAGAGCTTTCTTATTTAGATATGTAGAGGTATACACGAAGATATTTAAAATATAAAGTCCTGCATATTATAGATATCTACAAAGTGAATATAATCTCTAGTTCTCTTAGGATGGATTGACTGTCTGACTCAGTTTGAACAGAAACCAAAATACCCTTACAGTTTATGATCAATGGGTATAACAATAATTAGCAAACCCAAAACAACTGTTAAGTGCACATTTCAGTTAATTAAGCAGCAGCTAGCAATGGTAGACTTCTCTCTTCGACGGTTCTAGTAGAACTGATTTCTGAAGTATTTCTTTTTAGCATTTTCTGGCAATATTTGCTCTAGGCACGCCCATGCTAATGAGAATATTAAATACTCTGGCCAGACGTCTGAATTAATCACAGACAGAACTGCGTGGTTTGAATTTCATTATAACGATATACGTATGTGTATATATATAAATATATATTCGACTTTATATATGTTATAGATATTATATATATTTTTGATTCCATGAAATATTTTTGAGTATTATTTGTAAAGTGTTTAATCTTGGGTACACAATCAAAGTACAAGGATCGTCTATCAATTAAACTGTATCAAATTCGGAATCAGAATTATATTGGTCAAAGAGCAGAAATAAAACTTTCATAATGTCCATACTGGATTGTTAGGTATTTTTCAATGTCAAGTGTACTGAAAATAATTAGGGTTGATTATAATTGTTTTTTTGATTATGAATATTTTGTATTGTATTCTAAATTGCTCATTAAACATAGTTATTGTCATTGTTTTTGTTATTGTTGCAATTTATTGGGCTCTGCCTTCGAAACAAGTTCTTATCTCCCGTTCCGGATGCGTTTATACTCAATTTGAAAATGAAAGAGTATATTGGTTTTTGTGCAACAGCCCCCTGCCAGTCTACCTGCTTGAAAGACCCTATTAACGTTAGAAGCTTTCCTAGAAACTTAATTAACAAATATCTAAATATTTAGTATTTCCCAAACGATACTTTTAAAGTGCTATTTTTGATATTTTTAATATAACACATGTTCGAACATCTAAGGCTGATATATAGTTTAGATATTTAGATACTATAGATTTCTACCAAAACAAATATTCTGTAAAAATCATATCTTCCAAAGTTTGTTAGCTCTAGTTTAAGCTAGAGTTTCAATAGATATCCTATTAAGATTTACCAAAGAAAGCCGTAGGCAAGTATTAAGCAGTCTATTGGATCCAAACGCAATATTATTCCTTTTTATATATATATATATATATTTCCTTTTTTA